ACTGTTTCTCAAACCAGTTTAAAAAGTGAACATAATTAGAATCATTCTTCTCATGTGACAGATAGATTCTGGGGGAAGCATATTTTGTAACCGTGTAATACTGGTGGTGTCAGCAGCATCTTTTTGTAACTCAGTTGCTTATGTAGATTTCAACTCCCATACTTCTAAGTTTAACTGTAGTTATTATTATTTATACTATCTTTTGGTCAACCAAATGGGCTACACCCCCAGATCTATTTGGGATCTTCACTGATTAGAGATGGTTATTCTGGCTGGATGTCTGCAGGAAGTCCACTAGCTTCTGATGTTATTAGCTTTCAATTTTTCTTTTTTGGAAGCTTGTGAATAAATATTCATGGCAGTTTTTATGTTTAAATAGAGCAGATAGGAAGCAGATAAGATTGCTTTAACTCTGCTCATAGAGCTCCAGCAGCTGTAAGAATTTCTGTAATGTAGCAGATGGATGATGACCGCAGTGGCTGTTACTCGTAAGAGCATACATATGTTCTCTTTGGGAGACCATGGGGGAAGGAGCAAGCTTCAGAGATGAAGATGACACGGGCTTGGGTCCCTGTCCTCCTACCTGTTAACAGGTCCACTTAGGCCAGGTGTGGTGGCTTACACCTACAATCTCAGCGCTTTGGGAGGTTGAAGTGGGAGAATCACTTGAGCTCAGGAGTTTGAAACCAGCCTGGACAATATAGTGAGACCATGTCTCTACTAAAATTAGTGCACACTTGTAGTCCTAGCTACTTTGGGGGACTGAGGTGGGAAGATCGCTTGAGCCCAGTCAAGGCTGCAGTGAGCACTGATCATGCCACTAACTCCAGCTTGGGCAACAGAGTGAGACTCTGTCTCAAGAACAAAAAGACAACTACCAATAAAACAGGTCACCTTACCTCTTTGGTAAAGGGATGAGGCCTATTTTGACACTTAATATAAGGTCAAATGATGTATTAGACTTCAAAGTGCTTTATAAGCAAAAATTATATAGGTAGGAGGGTCATTTTCTTCCCTTTTTTGGTATAGAGATAACTAAAGAGTATATTTCCTGGACCATAGCAGCATATGGAAGCTTCAGAGAGGGCATGGTACCCTCTTTGAAAAGTCTCTTCATCCTGCCCCTAGGAGTGCTTCAGAGAGGCAGTGGTATTGCTGAGGTATTGCCCTCTGAAATTGTCATCATAAGTCATCACTTCTGAGCCCATTAATCTAGCTGTTTTTTTTTTAAATAAAGGAAATATCTGTTGGATCCCACTATTTTCGGTCTATTATTTTCTGCTTGGCGTGTATTTGTAGAACATGTAAGCATATCTAAATGAGCCTGCTTTCTGCAAGTCTTAAGTTTTTCATGTTGTTTTAACACTTTAGAATAATGGCAAAATCTTGGTTCACCTTGAAAAGTAGAATTTTTATAAATGTGGTTCTTAGTATGTGTGAATAGCTTTAGAGCTTACAATACATTTTAGACACGTTGAATAGAAGTGTTTAAATAGAAGGATTCATCTCTGGAGTGGTGGTTAAACTCATCATTTTCTTTTTTTTTTTTTTTTTTTTTTGAGGTGGATTCTCGCGGTCCCCCAGGCTGGAATGCAGTGGCATGATCTTGGCTTTCTATAACCTCTGCCTCCCAGGTTCAAACAATTCTCTTTTCTCAGCCTCCTGAGTAGCTTGGATTATAGGAACACACCACCACATACCGCCATGCCAGCTAATTTTTGTATTTTTAGTAGAGATGGGTTTCACCATCTTGGCCAGGCTGGTCTCAAACTCCTGACGTCAGGTGATCCACCTCACTTGGCCTCTCAAAGTGCTGGCATTATAGGCATGAACCACCATGTTCCAGCCTAATAAGTTTTTATGCTAAAATTCTTCTACTCAAGAACAAGATTGTGAGTTTTAGTATGCTAAAGACAAAACCTAAATTTTATTATTTTTTATTTTTTTGAGATTGAGTCTTGGTCTGTCGCCAGGCTGAAGTACAGTGGCGCGATCTCTACTCACTGCAACCTCTGCTTCTCGGGTTCAAGCGATTCTCCTGTCTCAGCCTTTCAAGTAGCTGGGACTATAGGCACGAGTCACCACGCCCAGCTAATTTTTGTATTTTTAGTAGAGACAAGGTTTCACCATGTTGGCCAGGATGGTCTTGATCTCTTGACTCCATGATCCGCCCGCCTTGGCCTCCCAAAGTGCTGGGATTATAGGCATGAGCCACTGTACCCAGTCAAAACCTAAAATTTCAAAGAAAAGAAAGATCATCAACTCCAACTACCATGAGTGGTTGGTGTTGGCGGCCAGTGTAGCGGCATCACTTCCATGCACACTGTCCGAGGCACGTGTCTGTGCTTATTATTTTAATATCATTCATAACTGCATCAGATCTGTCTGATGGAAAAGCGGTGAACATGCTGTAAGTACTAGTAAGAAAAGGCATACAATGATGATAGAAAAAAATGTAAAATAATTTAAAGAAAGCAAAGGGTAAAAAAACATTGTTCATGTGTACATGAGATGAACTGTTCAGTTGAAGGAATAACTGAGGGATGGTGTATGTTCACGCAATATGTTTAAAGCATTGTACCCATGCAGATAACAGTAACTGGCAAGAGACTGAGGGGAAACTGACAAAATAGACAAACTTTTGAACACATGGATTAGAGGATAACCATCAGATGTCTATTAGCCTTATGCTAATTTAGGAAACAACTAAGAGTGTGTTTAAAAGCTCAATGACTAAGAACAGCAAAAGTGCTGCTCATAAAACCTTGGTCCAGAACTCCAGTTTCACAGGTCCATATCTGTCTGATTCTGGACTAGCTGCTCTGCATCTGTTCTATTTAGATGCAGAGCAGTGAAGTATCCTTTTATGATATTAAAATGAGAATATGATAAGTAGCACTTGTGAAACCTACAGGATTCATTAGTTTGCCAAGTGATAAGCATAACATATTTCAAATTCAATATCCTCAATACTTGAGGGAGTATTAAGAAAGAAGGATTACCTGCCTCCTAATTTTCAAATATAAGACATAGATCCTTTTAGCAAAATGATGCCCTAAAGATCTTATATCATCAAGGAAAGGGAGAGTGAGCCTGTGTTTAAAGCTCTCATTTTTGGTGGTGGAAATACACTCAGAGACTTTCAAAGTCATCTTGGACTTCTGAGCAGACACACTTATATGAAACCTGTGGGAACAGTTCTATCCTGTTCACAAATAGAGGAACTGGTTACTGTTCTAATTTTAGATGCAGAGCAGCAAAGTAGCCTTTTATAATATTAAAAAGAGAAAAAATGAGAATATGGTAAGTAGCAGTTGTGAAACCTACAGGATTCATTAGTTTGCCAAGTACTAAGTGTAAGCAATCTGTTGACCCACATCTCATTTTCTTATCACTGCAATGTCAACATAGTGGAAAACGCGTAAACTCTGGCACAAACCAGCTGTCTGGTCCTGAACAAGCTACACAATTCATCGGAGATTTGGTTTCCTCATTTGAAAATTGGGCATTATGTTGCCCATCCATCAGAGATGTTGTGTGGAGTAAAAATAATACCTACTGAGACACTAACATGGTGTAGGTCATAACAGGCCTTCGATATTCATTAGCGGTCATTAGTGGAATTAGCATTAAGCTCACCGCCCATGATTAATTATAAAACCTCAGCAGAGAGTTTGAAACATGCCACCAGCAACTGATAGCCTAAACTTTTGAAACAAATAGACTCCAAATGCCATAGCCAAAAATACCATAGAAGTTCATTTATTTGTTTCATGGCAGTCCGGAATAAGTGTTCTAGTTCAGGAGGGCTCTGCTCTACACAGTCATTCAGGGACTTAGGCTTTTGGTGTCTCTGCTTTCATTAGTAGTAGCACTATTGCTGTCACCATTCCAGCACAAAGAAGGTAGAAGTGGCCTGGAGAAGTGTGTGAAGGAGGTTTTAAGTGGGTCTGGGGAGAAATGGCAAATGCCAGTTGTCACCTGCATTATGTAGAGATAACTGCTAGGGCATCTGGGAAATGCAGTATAGTGGGATAACTTTGTGTCGGCTACTGTGATAAAAAGGCATAATTGAGAAAGCCACTGGTTTATTACATGGCATAGTAACGATCCTCTGTGCTCCTTCTGAATGGTGGCACCAAACTTTTGCTGAAGTTTTGCTGATAATTTCCGATCTATGCCAAAATGAAGAACTCAGACACAAGGTAAATACGTTGTGGTAATGTGAGCTGTGGGTAGGTATATCATCTGGCTACTCAGGGCATGTGATTACCCGTGTTGGGACTCGGCTTAGGCTCTGCACTCCAGCCAGGGACTGATGGGGGCTTGTGTCTTAAGAAGCAACCATTGTGATTTGCTGACGTACTTGGAATGCCAGAGGGTTGGCCTGTGGCAGACAGGAATGACACCAGGGAATCTAGGCAACGAATCTGGGGACCCCATTGGGGAAGATGCCTCATGGAAAATCTATGTAGAGCAGAAGAAACACAGATACTGGGAGATAAGGGCAGGAAGAGAGAAGTGTGTTAGGCAGGGAAGCTGGGCAGGGCTCCCAGGCACCAAACTGGTGCTCCAGGCATATATGCAAGGCATTATATAGTTAAATCTGGAGACTAAGGCATTTCTTTGGCCTGCACTAAAGTAGGGAATGCAGAGATTAAGCAAGAAGAGAATTTAAATAGGGGGTAATGCTGATGTCTAGAAGTGATCCCAGGACTCTCCAGGACCAACTAGATGGGAGCAAGACATACCGAACTACCAGCTCCTGGCTCTTGGCCAACAATCCTTTCTAAGCCCTACTGAGTGGGGTTAGTGAGGATTCACATGCCTGTTGCTGTAGTCAGGATAGGCCCAGGAACCCAGGTGCCAGTGGGAGCCTTGGGTGATCAAGCTGTGGGGGTGGGGAAAGCATTAGGGAATGCTGAAATCAGGGAAACATGGACAGATTATCATATAATCTGCAGCTCAAATGCCATAAATGTGTTTTGTTTAATTTTTAGTCACCCTCCAGTTCATCAAGAAATATTCAACAAATGTTGGCAGATTCAATCAATCGTATGAAGGCATATGGATTTCACCAGGTAAAAGATTTCCCTTCTGTCCTGCGGGGGCTGCATACCTAGGCATTTCCACTAATGTTTCACAGATTAGTTAATGAATCTTGTGCAGAAATGAAATTAAGCAGCAGAACAGGAAATCTGTCCTAAAAGCTGCAAACACAGTTGTTCGTCTTTACCCATTTATCTGGAGTTCGGAAAGTCTTGAATGTCATGGAAAGAACAGATGCCAAGATGTATCAGCTAAACTCCTCCTGGAAGATCTAACACAGAGGCGGCCTCCCAGGCTGCTGCAGATATGGAGGGAAGACTGATTTCAGACAGTGATAAATGGAGCATTAAACTTGGCAGAAAGAGTGAATTCAGATCGAATTACTTCTGTGCTCATTGTTTTTGAACCTGTCCCTTGAGGGTGAGCAGCTGCTGTGTTCCCCACATCCACCATGCCTGGAACCCCTTCTGGCAGTCAGGCCTCTCTCACGTCTGTCCAGATGTGACATTCTTTCTCCAGGCCAAGCCCTGCTTCCTCCATCGTGCAAGCTTGCTATCATGTCATAAATTGCTCAAAATAAATGAGGCATATAGACTGGCACTTGGAAGGTGTAGTAGCATTTGACCTACAGAGAGTCTGAAAAAGCAGCATAAGATGTGAGCCGGTGAAGAGATAGTTCCTGAGATTGGGCTGTGGTGGAGGTTCACCTGGGGACCTGTGTTCCTGGGGACCATGTCATGGATTCCATGACTCCTCTGCAGGGACATAGATCCTTTTTGAGGCTTCAAGAAATCAGGATGAAGTTGTGGAACTGTAGTCCTGTATGCATACTGCTGATATAATACATGTTTCTTTCTAAAACAGCAGCAATAGGGGATCTAAAGGACATTTTCATTCTGCTTAGATCTCACTATGCCATTTTAAATGGTGAAAGCTGAGGAATTCAAAGGATCATATATTCATCCCAGCAACACTTATTAAGCATTTACTACATGCTAGGCACTGTTATGGGAGTTGGAGACACAGTTTATGAAAAAAATTGACAAAATTCCCATCCTCAGGGAGCTTATATTCTTCATGGGAGAGACAGATGATGAACATATCTATGAGAACAGGTGATCATAAGCTCTGCAGAGGAAAGTAAAGCAGTATGAGGGAACTGAGGAATGCTGGGAGGATGGGAACTGGGATGGGACACGTGGTCAGAGAAGGCCACTCAGGGAAGGCAGTATTGGAGCAGAGACCTGAAGGAATGAGGGAAGGAGCGATGTGGATGTCTAAGCCATGTGGATGGCTGTTCCAGGCAGAGGGAACAGCAAGTCAAAGACACAGGCAGGACCTCACATGGCATGGGCAGGGAAAGGCTGATATTTCAAGAGAATGAATGAGCCACCTTGCTAAGCTTCTCTGTAGGACAAAGATGATAAAACAGAGGCATTCTGCTTTGGGGGAGGTTGTGAGGCTCCAATGAAGGAATTTGTTTAGGGGCACTCTAAGGGCTTCCATCAACAGGCTGGAAAAGAGACTTTCTGTGTGAGTCTGGCAGCTTTCTGCATGGATCTAGTAGCTTTCTGTGTGGGCCCAGCATGGCCTTGTTTTCTGGTCCTGTTAGCTGAGCACATTTTCACAGCTCGCATCACACATCTAGGTCTCCATACCTTTCACCCTGGGCATCTGCACTAGTGTCCAGCCTCGGCCCCTCTGCCCCTCCACTCCAAGCCTTCAGCTGGGTTTCCCCATGCCTGGCTCACAGTCCTGAGTCCTGGACCAACATGCTTCTAGCAAAACACTGCTGAAGAGGAAAATGATGGTCTTCTGAATAGAGAAAGTAAACCATTACAGATTTTGCTAAACGTAAAATTCTTTGAGAGACTCAGGACAAGTTCCTTAAGTTTTCTAGCTTTCTTGAATAAATATGGTGGTCAGGGCCAGATCCCATCTGCTATTACTCTGTGAAACTCATTAATTTTTCTTCTTCTTCACTGTGCCTGTACATAATTACATGTAGTTTAAAGGAGTAGATTTATCAAATATAGCACTCTTAGATATTTGAGTAACATCAACCAAATACTACATCTGTTATTATTTTTTCTTAAGTAGACTCATGTTCTAAACTTCTTGCTTATCCCCAGCAACAATATCCGTGATGATCACAGTTTGATGTTTTCATTATGTTTCCTAATCATTTAAAAATAAACATGTATGCATGTGGAAGGATGAACAAAGCTCCACTTTTAAGTTTTTTTCTGCTAAGCTTAGAAATTGCTAGCAGCACTTTTATGTATCTTGGGCTTGCAAACAGCTTCAGTCAAAGGATGGCAAATTTTAACAGTCTTTTCAAACATCAAAGCTGTCCTTTGGATTTGAAAATGTTGGCAAACAAAAGGAGCTTAGCTGCAGGCAGGAAAACAACGTAAGGAAAAAAATGAAAACAGTAAATGCACAAAAATTTAGTTACATCTACAGTGAAGCACAATTTATGAATGATCATTACATGGACTGTGAATTACGACTGCCCACAAGTTCCATAATATTAAGGTTTATATTTTTAAGTTGTGGTTATGTGACTTAACAGCAAGGAAGTCTTTCCATTTCTATAGGAAAGCACAAAAGAAAAAAACCTGTCATTTGTAATAGAGAGGGGCAGCCCAGCAGCGCTTCCCGGCCCTTTCAGTTTGTTTTATTACTTAGCTAACCAAGGCTTCTTACTAGTTCACCGCATTGTAAATTCAGTCTTCTTGTGAGCACTCAGAAGGTTATGTCCAAATAAAGTACCTTTCAGGTCTAAGTGATTTGGTTTGTTCATTTCTCTTTAGTTTAAAATGATTTCCCATGCCAGAAAATAGTATACTTAAAAATGGTTAAAGTGGAAAATTTTGTTATGTGGAATTTTACCACAATTTTTCAAAAAACCGAATTCTCCTTCTAAAGGAATATTCGCATTTCTTTTTTTATACTTTCCCTTCTCAAAAGAGGCTTAAAAAACTTTTTGTTAAACAAAAAAATACATATTCTGGCCAGGTGTGGTGGCTCACACCTGTAATCCCAGCACTTTGGGAGTCTGAGGAGGTGGATCACTTGAAGTCAGGAGTTCCAGACTAGCCTGGCCAACATGGTGAAAAAAAATACAAAAATTAGCCAAGTGTGGTGGTGTGTGCTTGTAATCCCAGCTACTCGGGAGGCTGAGGCAGGAAAATTGCTTGAACCTGGGAGGTGGAGATTGCAGTGAGCCGAGAATGTGCCACTGCACTCCAGCCTGGGTGACAGAGTGAGATTCCATCTTTAAAAACAAAAACAAAAACAAAACCATATTTCTTTTGAACCACTTCAAATCATGTAGTATGTACCACATTTTCGGACACATGATTCGAGGGCAGGGAGAGATCTGGGAATGTGCATTTCTTCTGTGGAGCCTGTCAGCTGCTATAAGGTAGGTGGATGCTGGTTCTGTGAAATAGTGTACTTACATCCTTCTTCAGGGAGTCAATTTGAAGCAGCTAAGTACTGTGTCTGAGGAAAAATAATATTTTTTCTTCTGTATGTTACATGCTGTGCCAGGCACTTCTCAAGTTATGTAATCCTCAATATAGCCCTATGAATTTTTTTTCTCATCTGACTTATGGGGAAACAGCCTGAGAGAGGTTCAGTGGTCAGCCCTCGAGTTACGCAGCTAGCTAGCAACGTTCACGCCAGCTTCAGGTCTTACGGACTCTGAAGTCCACACTTAATCCTCCCTAGTGGGCCAGAGAGTTAAATAGAAATCAGGTGTGCTGGGCACCCCGTCCTTCATGAAACTGCTGGATTTCGTCACCAAGGTTTGTTTCTGTTTTTGTTTGTTTGTTTTAAACAGAAGAAAGAATCCATGAAGGAAAAACAAGATGAAGAAATAAATGAAACAGACGAAGAGAGAACGAAGCAGATTTGTAAGAGCTGGAAAGAAGACTCCGAATGGCAGGCATCTCGTGAGTACCCAGAGGTCTCTGTAGCAACTTCCAGGCTCTCAGCTGGTTCTCTCAGTTAACAATGTAATCAATCTAGAAAGCACTTAATGTGGGTTGTTGAGAGATACCCACAGTGAGTTACCACTGAAATGTTATTACTAACTTATTACTCATATGCTTACAAGCTACTTTTGAACAGCAGACTGGTTCTCCATTCATTTCTGTATCATCAAAAGTATGATGTAATTTTTCAAATAGCATGATGTATAGCTATGGAAAATATGTTTTGGAAGAGCATTTAATGAATTTAGACTGTTTGTTTACATTTCTTTCACTCGGAGAAGAAAAAAACACCATGAAATAGGATGAAAAGCTCCACTATTTAGAAATGTCTAAGTATCTGAAGGAAAAGAATTGGAAGGTTATTATAATAACATGTAAACAGTACTTTCCTTGGAGAAGCGAGATTCAAGATTATTTATTTGAAAGTTTTTCTTGTAATTTAATATTGTGTTTGGATTTTTTCCCCTAAATTTTTGATACAGAATACATTTTAACTTTGTAATAAGTACACAGGAACACCAGGCTGGATGTGTTAGCATCCTGCTCCTGCCTGTGATCCAGCCCTGACTCCTTTTGAGTTAGCAGAGCCAGTGAGAAAACTTATAGGAGAAGAAGAAGCCCATGACAGAGAACAGGATGCTCCAGAATGCTAGAAGAATTAGGTTTGAGAAAGAAGTAGTGTTTCAGTCTGACTCAGAGAAGTCTGAACTGCTAGATCATCCTGAGGCAGCTTGAGGAAGAGTGCAGGTGTGGCTGTATTTGCAGGATGTTGCGATCCTAAATTGATCTGCGATCCTAAATTGATCTGCAATCCCCTTACAGCCAATGCCATTTAAATGACAATTTCTGTGAGATAAAAAATATTTGCAAGATCCGGTGGCCTCTTTGTACTATGCAGTGAAATCCTAGTATAAGGGAATATTTTGGGTGTCTCTTTGAAGTCAAACATAACAGGATTTGACCAATAATGCCTGAAGTGTAAATATACTCAAAATTACTTTTTCATTCTGCATTAGAGTCTCATTGCTACAACAAAAAACTGTTTTACAAAGTAGTCATGTGCTGTATAATGATGTTTTGGCTAACGATGGGTTGTATATATTTTTTGGGCCAGGCGCTGTGGCTTACTCCTGTAATCTCAGCCTTTTGGGAGGCCAAACTGGGTAGATCACTTGAGGTCGCAAGTTCCAGCCTAGCCAACATGGTGAAGCCCCATCTCTACTAAAAATAAAAAAATTAGCTGGGTGTGGTAGGGCACACCTGTAGTCCCAGCTACTCAGGAGGCTGAGGCAGGAAAATCACTTGAACCTGGGAGGCAGAGGTTGCAGTGAGCTGAGATCATACTACTGTGCTTCAGCCTGGGCAACAGATCGAGATTCAATCTCAAAAAAAAAAAGACACAAAATAATAGGTTGTATATATTTTTTTAAATGAAGACATTTTTAATACATTTTATAAATGTAGTATAGCCTAAGTATAAAGTGTTTATAAAGTCTACATTAGTGTGTAGTAATGTCCTAGGCCTTAGCATTCATTGAGCACTCAACTGACTCAACCCAGAGCACCTTCCAGTCCTGGTAAGTACCCTATATAGATGCACCATTTTTTTGTCCTCTATACTATATTTTTACTATACCTTTGCTATGTTGGGGGTAGTTTTTTTTAAATTTTTTTTTTTTTTTTTTGAAACGGAGTTTCCACTCTTGTTGATCAGGCTGGAGTGTAATGGTGTGATCTCGGCTCACTGCAACATCTGCCTCCTGGTTTCAAGAGATTCTCCTGCTCAGCCTCCCGAGTAGCTGGAATTAGAGACCACCGCTACCATGCCCAGCTAACTTTTTGTATTTTTAGTAGCATCAGGGTTTTGCCATCTTGGCCAGGCTGGTCTCAAACTCCTGACCTCAGGTGATCCATGTGTCTTGACTTCCCAAAGTGCTGGGATTACAGGCATGAGCCACCGTGCCCAGCCTTATGTTGGGGGTGTTTAGATACACAAATACTATTGGGTTACATTCGCCTCATGATGCATTTCTCAGAACATGTTCCTGTCATTAAGTGATGAGTGACTATAATATTAAAAGGCAGGCTTGGGGTACTTCTTCATGTTCTGATGTGTTCTACGATTATCTGTGGTTAAGCATCTCTTTAACTTTTTGTCTGTTGGGCTCATTCTCATTCTGTCCCATTTCCTGCTCCTTCACCCTATGCATAGCCCCATGCCACTGAATAGTTTTGATCTTTGCTAGCGAGTCAGGCACACTGCATCTGAACGTAAGTCTATGCAGGATGTGACAATTGCTTCTTATTACTCAGCACCCCTGCCACTTTGAGCCCTTGCTCAGGCAGGGACTCCTCACTTGCTCTTATCAACTGCAGGAAGTTCTTGCACACTTTTGATACTTCTCTCTCATTCCTTCTTCCTCCTCTTCCTTTTCTCTCCCTCTCAGAAAATCCCCAAACTCCCATATGAAGAGAGGAATCCTGCAGTGAACGCTGGGCAAGTCCTAATGACCTGGATCATAGGTGTTGATAATGAGTGTTCCTTATTAGAAGCAGATCACAAACTGCTGGGAACCTGTGCTGCTGCCTGTTGTGCAATGCTGAGTCTTCTCACCTGCCCTGGGGGCTGATGAGGATGTTCTCCAACCCTGTTGTTTTTCTAGTGCGAAAATCCAAAGCAGCTGATGAGAAGAGGCGCTCCTTAGCTAAACAAGCACGAGAAGACTACAAGAGGTTGTCCCTCGGGGCCCAGAAAGGAAGAGGCGGTGAGAGGCTGCAAAGCCCCCTGCATACTCCGCAGAAACCAAAAAGACCTCCCCTTCCGCCCAAGCCTCAGTTCCTAAACGCAGGAGCGTATCCTCCAAAACCTCTTAGGTAAGAAGCCAAACAGATAGATGGCCTTAGGTATAAGGGCTTGGGATAAGTGTTGAAATTAAAGGTGAATTGTATAAGCTGCAACGGGGTGTGGAAGGTCAACTGGCAGCCTGTGTAAGCTGAGGCTGACGTCTAAGCCTTCTTCCTGGGTTATCTGGTCCGGCACTCCTCCCCTTCTTAGCTGTGAAACAACCATAGGTGTTATATTTAGTATACCCAGTGAAATTGTAAATGGAGTTGAGAACTTCCCGTGTCCCTACCCCTCTCTCCCCTTTTCCACCCAGAGGCAGCTGTCGAGCCAGTGAGGGGAGAAGAGGAAGCAAGGGGGGATTTCACTGATGCCCAAGGTCACCCTTAGTCAGTGACAATCAAAGTAGGAACCCAAAGGCTTGCTGACTTTCATGTCATCAGTCAGACTACATTTTCACTGCCAAGGATTAAAGGTTTGATGTAATTCTCATTCTGGGACACATAGCTATTGGAAACAGATGCTCAGGGCTGCAAAGAAAAATTAGCACTGAGACAATGGATCTCTCAGCAAAGCAATTTTTACTTTTTTACTTCCTGTACTGTAGAAAGGGTACCCTCAATAGCCTTCTTGCCACGAGACTACGATGAACAAAAGAAAGCAGACATGTTTATCTCTTAGGCATTTGTGGTTGTCCTTACTGCTGTGTCTGATCTCTGTTGGTTGGAGCCAGACTTCACAATCTAAACTAAAACCGGATTGGCTAATAACTGAAAACTTTTTTAAACAGGTAAGGGGCATAGGCTACCAGCTGGGACATGCCTGTGAGCACATCCAGCACAGATACCTTAAAGTACAAGGACACAGAATATACTACATGCCTATAAGCATGTCTAACAGCTGCATAGGATAGGGTTTAACAAAGAGTTATTAGCAAATTTATTCTTTAACAGGAGAGGAAACTTTAAAGAGGCACTTTTCTACTTCCCACAATAGCCAAGCTTATCTTTTGAGAATTTGGAAAGGCTCCTTTTTTTTTTTTTTTAAATGAATTTTCTATTTGGTGGTGGTGATACCATTGTTGCTTAGGCTGTGGAAGAATTAGGAAGAACCATTTGTTCTGGAAAAACTGCAGAATAGTACAGTGATGCTATTACAGAAACCCGCATCCCTTATGTTTGCTGATTATAAATTTTTTTTCCTGAGTATTGATCTTAGTTTAACATCCTAGTATTTAGAAAGAAGTATTAAAATCAAATATTGATTGAAAGAAACAGAACTGTCTGAAGCCTTGCCTTCTGAAATGAAAACTGAAAAAACTAGAAATATTTCTCTGCTAAGATTATGGAGAAATTAAAAAAAACATCTCCCTCTGCTTGGAGTCATTAGTTTCTTCAAGGTTTTCTTTAAACTGGAATGATGACCTCAGGGGAAACACAAAGGCGGCCCTTTTTCTTTGCTATGATTATTTCTACTTAATCCACTGAAAGCTTTCATTTTGGGAGGTGGGGACCAATATAAAACTTTTCAGTGGAGTAAGCAGAAATAATTAAAGACCATGATCTACAAAGTGATGGTTTGGGGAATGATTCTTCTCTTATTGACAACAAAGCAAGAAATGTAGTCAGAAAATAGGAGTTCCTGTAATTGTGTGAATAAGTGACAAAGGTGCACGTGGCCCTCTCAGTGCTGGAGCTTGTTTGTGTGCACGGTGGCAACAGAGCCTCAGCAGGGATGTTTTTGCAGCTAACTCCTGTGCTCCGTCTCTTCCAAGAGTAGCATGGAAACATGACTTGTAGATGTCCCTTTCCCACAGCATTGTTAAAGCACAATTATTTGATAGACAGCAATCAATGTGCTCTATAATGAAAGGCAATTCTTGTTTTCAGCTGTACTCAGCTCATCTTTTCCAACTTAAGATGCCACATAAAGTGCTTCTTGTGAGTCAGACTGGGTGGTTTTAGGGCTGGGACTTGACACAGGGATGGTAGAGGTCACCTCGAAGCCACCCCAGGAAAAGAGACTGGTTCCTCCAGTGTTTAAGGAGTTTTGCTCAATCTCCAAGGACTTTGCAAAAAAGAGCCTAATTAGGAAGCTAGTAAGAGAATTTATAATAACTTGGTGTGTGCAGTGTCTGCCTCCCAGGGAAGTCAAATATCATAGGATATTTTCTCCAAAAGGCTCTGAAGATAAGTCCACATATATGCCTATGTACATCTATATATGTATAACTGACATGTTACATGTAATTCATAAGCACATGTTATAAAAAGCATAAAGAACCATACGTTTATTCATTACAAGAAATTCTAGTAGTTCACCCAAACTTTATTGTGGTGGTTGTTTTTCACAAATTGTATTTTGTTTTTAATTGACACACAATAATTGTATATATTTATGGGATACAGTGTGATGTTTTGATACATAAATACATTGTGTCATGATCAAGTCAGGATACTTCCCATATCCATCAATGCAAACACTGTAATCTATTTGTGGTGAGAACATTCAAAATCCTATCTTTTGGCTGTTTTGACCTGTGCAGTACATTACTGTTGACTGTGGTCATCCTGCTGTGCAGTAGAGCAGCAGAACTTATTTCTCCTGTCTCACTGTAACTTTGTGCCAGTTGACCAACCTCTCCCCGTTTACCATCCCCACTGATCTCTGCAGCCCCTGCTAACCACTGTTCTACTCTTGTGTAAGATCAACTTTGATTCCACGTATGAGTGAGGTCATGCAGCATTTGTCGTTCTGTGTTGGGCTTATTTCACTTAACATAAGGTCCTCTGGGTTCATCCATTTTGTTGCAAATGACAGGATATTGTTCTTTTTATGGATCTTCTGTTCTCTTTTCAATTGTTTTGAGAAACTTCATACCCTTGCCTATAATGGTATACAAATTTATATTCCTCTCAACAGGCTAGGAGAGTTGTCCTTTTTCCAGATTCTCACCAACAATTTTTTTTTATTGCGAATGTCAGGCCATTATTGTTTTTATGTCTGAATAATAGTCCATTGTATATATATACCACATTTTCTTGATTCATTAATTGTTGGACACTTAGGTTGATTCCATAGCTTGGCTATTGTGCATAGTGCTGCAGTAAACGTGGGAGTGCCAATGTCTCTTTGGTATACTGATTTTGTTTCCTTTCAACATATGCCCAGTAATGGGATTGTTGGAGCTTTCATTCTATTTTTAAGTTTTTGAGAAACTTCATACCATTGTCTATAATGGTATACTAATTTATATTCCTACCAACAGGTTATAAGAGTTCTCCTTTCTCTGGATCCTCACCAGCATTTGTTTTTGTTTTTGCCTTTTAGATAATGACCGAAAACACAAAACTGGGTGAGGTGATATTGTGGTTTTGATGTGTATTTCCCTGATTAGTGGTATTGAGCATTTTTTTCATATACCTGTTGGTCATTTGTATGTCTTCTTTTGATAAATGCCTATTGAAGTTTTTCTTATTTGGATTATTTGTGGTTTGTTTTGCTATTGCGTTTGAATTCCAATATCAATGCTTTGTCAGATACATTTATGAATATTTTCTCCCACTCTGTAACTTGTCTCTTTACTCTTGATTGTTTCCTTTGCTGTGGCAGAATCTTTTTAGCTTGATACAATCCCATTTGTCTATTTTTCTTTGGTTGCCTGTGCTTTTGAGGTGCTGTTTTTTTAAAAGTCTGAGGCTACGCATGGTGGCTCACACCTGTAATCCTAGCACTTTGGGAGGCTGGGGTGGGAGGATTGCTTGAGACCAGGAGTTCCAGACAAGCCTGGACAACACAGAGAGACTCTCATCTCTACAAACAAACTAGATTGATGTCCTGAAGTGTTTCCCCAATATCTTCTTCTAATAGCTTCATGGTCTTGTACGTTCAAGTCTTTAATCCATTTTGAGCTGATTTTTCCACATAGCAGGAGTAGGTAGTTTCATTCTTCTACATTTCACTATCTAGTTTTCTCAGTGCCATTTATTGAAGAGACTTCTCCAGTATGTGTTCTTGGAGCTTTTGTTGAAAATTGGTTGACTGTAAATGTGTGGATTTATTTCTGGGTTCTCTATTTTGTTTCTTTGTTTATGTGTGTATTTTTATGCCAGTATCATGCTGTTTGGATGACTAGACTTGGAGTATATTTTAAAGTCATTTAGTGTGATGCCTCCCAGCTTTGTTCCTTATGCTACAAATTGCTCTGGCAATTTGTAGTAGTCTTTTTGTGGTTGTATACAAATTTTTTAGTTTTTTTTCTATTTTCGTGAAAAATATCATTGGTATTTGGATAGGGATTGGTTTGAATCTATAGATCTCTTTGGGTAGTACAGCCATTTTGACAATATTAATTTTTCTAATCCATGGACATGGGATGTCAATTTCTCTTTTTCCTTTAATTAGTGTTTTATAGTTTTTCTTGTAAAGACATTTCACCTCCTTGGATAAATTTATTCCTAGTTTTTATTTTATTTTATTTTATTTTGCTTTCTTCTTTTTTTTTTTTTTTTTTTTCTGGCTTGTCCATTGTTGATGTATAGAAATGCTACTGATTTTTGTAAGTTTATTTTATATCCTACAACTTCCCTGAATGTTTTATCAGGACTAAGAGCTTTTCGGTGGAGCATTTAGGGTTTTCTGTATGTAGGAACAAGTCATCTGCAAACAGAGACAATTTGAGTTCCACTTTTCCAATTTGGATGCTCTTCATTGCTTTCTCTTGACTCATTTCTCTGGCTCAGAGTTTCAGTACTATGTTGAATAAAAGTGATGAAAGTGGACATTCTTGTTTTGTTCCAAGTTTTAAAGGAGAAACTTTCCATTTTTCCTCTTTCATCACATTAGCTGTCATTTTGTCATATATGACCTTTATTAGATTGAGGTACATTACTTCTATATCTAATGTATTTAAAGTTTTATCATGAAGAGATATTGCATTTTATCTAATACTTTCCCTTTATCTTTGTCTGTTCAGATGATCCTGTGGTCTGTCTTCCATTCTGTTAATGTGCTGTGTCATGCATATTGATGT